CACCAGGCACGGTGCCCCCCGCCTCACCCACGCGCGGCTCTGTGCGGCATCGTCAGGCTCCACCAGTGCCACGCTCCGTGGCGTGCGGCACACTCGGCAGTCACTCTGCAGCTTGAGCTCAGCCAAAGTGCTCGGGATAATCAGCACCCCAGCTTCGATTACAGGAAGAGATTCAGAGATTTGGAAGCATTGCTCTGGTTTTACCTTCACGGCGGCGTGCTTGGCAGCGGGCTCGTTCCTCAGGAGAGTGTTTCGAAGATCTGCTGGATTCCTCTCTCTGCAGCCAGCAGGCGGGAGCAGCTTTCCGCTCCTCCCTCCTGGTACAGGTTACTCAGGCTAAGCCCATTCAATCAAAATGAAAACCAACCAGCTAGAACTGTTCTGCTAATGGTAGTTTTCCACCTTCCTCGAGACTCTCCATTCCTTCCCTTTGGGGTGGTTGTAGGACAGACCTTGGCAATGTTACTCAGCTGCAGTACAAGCCTGGGCTCTGTCACCTCCTTAATGTAGCTCTGAGTAGCTCCTCTCGGGTGAGGAGACACGAGCCCCTCGCTGCCTCCCTGCTTCCCACGTCCGAGCCACGTCCAGCAGCTGTGCCAGGCACGTCCTCGTCTGCTCCTGCCCAGGTATCGGAGTCCCGGAGAAGAATCATCCATGCGCGGCAGGAGCAGCCTGACCTCTGGGCTCGGCTCCTGCTCTGAGGACAAGCACGCCGCAGGACAAGCAGGATGTTTAGATTTTAAGGGTCTCTGGGGACTCTGATTGTGACAAACTCTCCCTCTACCAGCCTGCTAAACAAGCGCAAAGCCCGGAAGTCAGCCCAAAGCACTCACGGATCATCAATGAGGAACTTGATTAGGAAAAATGGGGGTCCTGCACTTCCGACCTGAGACATGATGGTAGCCGCTCTGTGAGGGATACCCCAAAGTGTGAGGGCTCTTGCTGTACAAAGTCACTCAGGCAGAGCCCGAAGAAGCCATCCTGCTGCTCCCCGCCCAGGAGCGGGGCTTGGGCGCTGCAGCCATGCCAGGGATCCCGACCCTGCGGGAGCTGCTTGACGGGCAGGGAAGGCAGGAGCTCCGCTGAGGATCGGCAGCGCCGCGGGGAGGGCTGCCCGGCGGGGCAGGCATGGAGCTCCCTCGCACCGCAGCCGAGCTGGGCCCGTGCGCTGCCTTGCGCACAGCCTGCGCCCGTGCCAGGGATGGCTAGACCAGCCGTTGCAGCAAATGGACTGACAAGACAAGTCCTCCTGTTGCCATCGTAGCAACAAACCTGTCCATGGGAGGCCTCTGGCACTCAGCAGCCCACAACCAGGCAGACGGCGCTGCCAGAGGCACCGGCAGCGCCGCCTCTATCTCAGCCGGCCATCTCTCCTCCTGACTGAAGGGCAAATTTCCTGCATGGCACCACGGAAGCATCAACCCACATGTGGAGGCAGGGAAGGACTCCAGGCTTGGGCACCGCTGCTGCCGTGTCCGTGGTCCTGAGAACCAGAGTGCGACACACTGGGGCGAGTTGGAGACCTGCTTGGGGGGAGGCATTTCCCATAATGGAAGGAAGAACTTGTGTACGAAACCTAATTGCCCTGGATGCGGTGATCCCTCTGTACATAGCTGAGCAATTAATCATGTTGAAAGTAAAAGGGGCTGTACTGACTGAAGAGGTCACAAGTCCTATCTGCAGGACTAGAAGATGGTTTGGAGAAGGCCCAGCACAGCCCCTGCCAAGCTGTGCTGTTCTTGCCTGATAAAGAGAAATTAGAAGGGCAAAGAAAAGCAAGGGCAGGAAAAGCAACAACCCGTTTGCCGAATACTACCGATTACTACCTGCCGGCAGGACAGGCCAAGCTCCCAGCTTTAAAGTGCATCAGGCTTCCAGGACACTTTCCCAGGAGCACTCCAGGCCTCTAGATACAGAACAAACGCAAGCAGATCTGCCTGATGAGCCTGATGAGGCGACCTTGCGCTTCGAGCTAACGCTCATCAGACTGGGGCTGGGCTGGAGGCCCCCAAGATCACGTAGGGCAGGAACTGGTCTTGGAGCAGAGGCTGCTGCAGCAAGGCCGAGCCCAGCACCCCCCAGCCTGGCAGCCTTTAGGGGATCCATGGGGATGCGGCCGGCAGCCGGGCTGCTCCTGCACCAAGGGCAGAGGGAGCAGAGGTGTCAGCCACACGGCAGCCAGCCCCATCCCACTTGAGCAGCAGTTTTATAGGCGAATGTGATGGAGAAGCGAACGCCCCAGATGAGCACCGCATCTAAGCAGGTCAGAATCTGGTCTCGGATACAATGTGCTTCCTCGGCTGCTCCCTCAGCGCCGTGCTGAGAGGCACCACTGCACAAAGGACGAAGCTTTCCTGAAAGGACATTGCCACAGCAATGAATGTCACCTTGCTACTACGCTGAGATACAGTTTCCCCTCCAGGCCATTCCAAGATGCCGAAAAGACCAAGTCGAGGAGAACAGAGACTCCCCGACTTCCCAGCATGGAGAAAGATTCAGTCTTTTCCTTCTGAACTGTGCAAGGCCTGAGAGAACACAAAGGCAGCAGTGGACAGCCAGCCTACAGCAGCCTCCCAGCTGCACTCCTGACCTGCCAGCCGCAGAGGCTCGACAATCCCTTGGGATAGTTCCTTCTAGGAATGCTTTCAAGTAGCTCCAACATAAACACTGCGGCCCAGCGCTGGCTTTCCCAGCCCGCACCCAAGCCCAGCAGTCCCAGCAGATCTGGCAGCACTCAACAGGCTCTCGTTACCTGCTCCTGAACTCTCCATTGTTTGCTCTTCCCTCCTAGAAGCCTGGAAAAGGAGGCACCGCGCTTCAGCTCTGCCCTTTCCAGCAGTCACTTCCCTGGTGTTTTAATGGAGACAAACAGGGATGTTTGTACGGAAGTGGGAATGCTGCTGCCGCCTCTTGTGGCCACACTGGCCGTGGTGACAGAGACGGCCCTGGGCAATGCACCCCAGTGGAGGTGTGCGCAGCCTCGAGACCAGCGCCAAAGGCACCTGCTGCCGTGCATGCACTGGCACGTCCTGCTGGGGGCTTCAGTGCAAGAGGAAAAGAGTCTGTGCTAGAAACCCTGGCAAGGTTTCTTGTCCCATTCCGGAGAACTTAACGACAGCGTTACCACAAGAGAGGTGAGCTGGGCTCCCACAGAAGCAGGCAGGTGCCCTAATGGCGAGGACCTTCAAGGACTGAATTCAGCCCTGTGTCGTGCAGACCCTCCATGTGGCCTTTCAGCACCCCTTCCCGGCGTGGGAAGACCAAGGCCTGCCCTTCGCTGCTGCAAAAGACCTTTTTCCATCCTAGTGCAGGATGCTGAAGCGTTCAGGCCTGAGCAGTGAGGAAGGTGGGTTAGCAGGTGGCAGACAGCATAGTGTTATCTGCTGTCCATGTAAAACAGACACCTCTGTAACCCTCTCCTGTTGTGGGGGAATGTCACGTCCCTGGGGACAATGCTTTTCTACCTAGAACATTTTGAGATTAATTATTATTGCAAGGGGGATCTCAGAAACCCCTCTCAGACATGTCTTCTGTCGCCCAGAGAACCACACAGACTCGAGGAAAATCTCTCGCCTGTGAGGGGAGCAAGTCTGCGAACGCCAGACACCGCTCTGCCCCCTGGACAGTGAAGGGCATAAACCCAAACCCAGGGCTCTCTGAGGGCTGGGGCCCCAAGGACCCTCCACAGTGCTGGATCCGAAGCCCATGGCAAAGCCACCAGGCAGGGACTAGAGAGGCCGGCAGCAGCAGAGCAGCTCCCAGTCCTCCTTCGTGCGGAGGGACGTGTCCGTGCCAGGAGCTCCTGCAGAGCTGGCCTGGCCATGCTCGCGAAGGCAGATGCGCGTTGGGGCTCCACTCCAGCCCTGCCGGGAGCTTCCTGCTCAGCACTTGCCCTTGCCAGGGCTCCTCACCCGCCGTGCCCAGCACCAGGCGCCGGCCCCTGCCCACCTACCTCGGCCACCAGAGAGGGGCTCTTGGAGAAGGGGGCTCATGAGGGACTCCGAAGGACTCTCAGGACGACACGGGCTGCTTGAAGCCCCAGGCGAGTCTCATGCTTCCCAAGGGAACACAACCAGCATTTCCAGAGCTTGGATGAAGGAGACAGCTCGTAACAGTGGAGCGAAAAGGGAGGCAACAATTCAGATACTTTCCCTCTGCTCTCAAACTGGGTTCCTCAGCTCCTTCCCGCTATCAGAAGGGATCTCCCTCCTAATTCACTTGTTCAGGAGCAGCTGTTTCTACTGCAGCACCCTTTTTCTTAGCATACATAATCATTTTCTTACACTAACAGCAGCATGCAAAAGGGTAATTGGGCCCCCATTTCACAAGGGGAGTCTGTCTATCTCCCTGCTGGGGTTCCAAGTTTGGAAGGGGGCTGGAACGGCCGAAAGTCGAGTGTCAGCCTGAACAGAGCCAGGAAGAGCCGTGGGCTGACGAGGACACTGCTTGGGCAGCAGAGCATCAGCCCTTCCTCACGAGCAGGGCTGGCGCCTGCTTCGGAGAAGCAGGGCCTTTGTGAGCACCAGTGAGCACAGCGGCTCCCACAGCGCTGACAGAGGCATGAGAGAGAGAGACTGGGGAGAAGAAAAAGCTTGTTCAGAGGAAAAACAGCCACAAGTACTACTGAGAGAAGGACTAAATCCCTCTCCCGGCTCTCCGCGGCATGCGCTTGCAGGAGGCCCCTCTTGGGGATTGTGCTGGTCTCTTCTGGTCTTCCATCTACTGCAAGATGACAGACAGAAGCAGAAGAAAAACAAATCTTTTGCATTGCTGTTTGAGACAAAAGCCAAACTGTCTTGAGTGCGGGTACCTATAAAGATGTCAAATGCTACCAACAGCCCTTAACATATTTGCCTTCTGTTTACACAACTGTATCCCTGCTTAGGGAAGAAAGAGGACGTGCTTATGTTTGTCTTTGGAGAAAAACGCAGACAACATAGCTGGCAAATTCGGTGGCTTTTGCTGTTATTTGACCATACAACCTTGGACCTGCTTGCGAGGAGGCAACTTCTGCAGGCAAACGCTTCCACATGACTGTCGTGGGCATCAGGGATGGCAACACAGGCCCGGGGGCCCGTGAGCTCCCAGGTGAGCGGCCACTTGCACCTTTCCCAGTACTTGTCCCTCAGCAGAGCTTGCTTCAGACTGGAAGTGTACCTAAGTGCTTAGGCTTCAAGAAGAGGATTCCCTCTGATCTCCCTCACTCATGGTAGGACTGATGGAGATGGCCACAACACTGTGCAGAGGCAGCAGGCCTGATTGATAAAGAAAAGTAAAGCAGCCCCTGCCCCACGCTGCATCACTCCTCTTCCTCCTACACAGGAGGGCCTGATCCCCCCTGTAGGGACAGGGAATGTTGGATGTGTCAGGGGTGGCAGGAAATGCCCCTCTGCAGGGCGAGGGTGCAGGGACAGACACAGCCACTTCCCGGAGGCCATGTTCCCTTTTGGAGAGCCAGGGTCACAACTAACGCAGATCCTGCAGGGCTCGGGATATTTCATGCCCTGTTCAAGGCTCTTGGACTCCTTTGGAAACGTGCAGTTTATCAATGCGCACCGTGAGATGCCCCAGAGACTCTGCCAACAACGCTGCAGCGTGGCCGCCAGATGCTGCTCCAGCTCCCACAGCCTGCCAGGCGTTTCGCAGAGGCCACTGGGGAGTCTGAGGCAAAGCCAGCATCCTGCGGAAGGGCCCATTTGTGGTTGGGCCTGGAGGGAACGGGGCAGCTGGAGCTATGAGGGCTCAGCTTAGGGCATTTTCCCCATTAGGGCAGGAATTGCACTCAGGGCCGCTGCCGGTGGAGTGGGATGTGCTGGCAACACCGTGGGCACCAGCAAAGCTCTGGCATCAACATGGGCGCCAGCAGAGCTGGCTTTGACCCAGGCTCTGCCCCAGCCCTCAGTGAATCCCGTCTCCTTGGCTCGCACTCCATTCACCCTGCAGAGTGGGAGCACACAAGGTGCTGGCGGCTAGCGCGGGACAGCGCCCGGACAAGGCAGCACGGCTGTGGCCGCGCGGGCCCTGCACGGAGACGTGTGCGTCTGTGTGGCTGAGGTCAGGGAGGGGATGCCTTGGTGGAGTTATTTTGACTTAAACCTGCCAAAGTTTCAACACGAGAAAAGCTCAATTGTTGTTAGACTGGTTTGAGCATAAGAAAAGCTCTTGGCCAAACAAAATAGCATCCAGTTATTGTTCTTTCACTGAACCATTGATGTGAGCAAGTAGCTGTGCTCTGGCCCCTCCAGCCCCACATCCCGCCCCGCTGCAGTGACAGAAGGCGAGCAGGGAGCCCACGCCGCCAGACAGCCACTAAAACCGGAATGAGTGAGGCCTTCCCTACCTGCCCGTGTCCGGCATTTTCTCCTCCGTGCAGCCCCCTTGGCCCTTATCCGCCTCCTGCGGCGGGGCCGCGTGGATGGGGCTGCTCCTGCCGTCACTGCTCCTGCCGTCACTGCTGCTGCTGCCCCGGGGCTGCTGGCCCTGGCCGCCAGGCTGGGAGCCGCGTTTCATGGCCTGGAGCTGAGCCAGGGGCACGATGTCGCAGCCCTGCGGCCGGTGCCACACCGTCTGCCGCGTGAGGGCATTGTAGTAGTAGAAACGGTTGTTGTTCTGGTCGAAGAGCTCCCACCACTGCTGCTGGTCTGACTGGCGCACCTTGAGGTTGGGCGGGGGGTCCCAGCCGCACTCGCCTGTCGCCAGGTTGACATACATGCGCTCCCGTGAGCGCGGCTCCAGGATCTCCACCCAGTCCGAGCTGCGGGCGAATGAAGCTGTGTTAGTCTGGGCCGCAGGCCGGGGCCGCTGCTCCCTCCACGCTTCCTGCGGCCTCCCTGCGTGAGGCGGGATCGGCCGAGCGGTGGCGCGCGGCCAGCACAGCGCTTCCCCACGCCAGTTGGACACTAACACGCCCCGGGGACAACCAATGAGAGGTTCCTGGCTCGGGACAAGCTCCAGCAAAGCAGAGGTCTCCCGCTCCACCCAGCCCTCCGACCAGGCCATGCTGCTCGCTGGACAGTCCCGGCAGCCCCACTGCCGGCGCCAGGGGAGCCACAAGGCCCTGGGAACGCTCTCCTCGCCTGCACCAAGGCCCACGCGAGGTGGCACCGACCCCTTCCCTCCAGGCTCTCCGTGGTCCAGAGCTCACAGAAGCAGCAGCAGCACAAGCAGCAGGCGCCGACTCGGCCCGTGCTTCTGCGAGGCACTGAGGAGGACAAGGAGTGACAGACCGTCCCCCAGAGCCAGTCTTCCTGCCACCCGAGGCTCTGCTAAAGCGAGAGAAGTCTGCGCAAGCCCAGGTCCCAACCCAGCCTAGACACCAAAAGGGTCTGCGCAAAACTCTGGAGGGAGTGACTGGACAAACCTCTCCCCATCTCAAGCTCTCCACCTTCCCCTGGCAGCCACACTGTTCCAGGGAGGGAGAAACGGTCCTTCGTGACTCTTTGGGCACAACATGCAGCTGGAGGACAGGCACGACCTGCTCCCTCGTCAGTGCTAGCGCCCGCCCGGCTGCAGGGCTGTGGGCTGCTCCAGGACCCGCCGCTGAGCGCGGCACCGGTTCGCTGCCAGGCCCGGCAACACGCTGCCTCGGGAACAGGAACCACGTTGGGCCAGGGGCTTCTGATCCACAAGGTTCGTAACATTGGAAACAGCCTGAGAGGACAACAGGCAGTGAATGAAAACCCCCCGAGTTCCCCATTTCCAGGGCAACATGAGACGGGGTCGATGACGGCCGGACAGCGGCCCCAGCAGGGCTGGCCAAGCACGTAGCTGAAAATGGAGCTAAATCCTATGAGCACCCCCACAACCTGCAGCCTTGGCCCTGTGCCCTCCTCCTCCGCCTTGCTCGCTGCCAGTTATTTGGGGTATTAATAAAAGCCACATGAGGCAGAGGGGACGAGCCCAGCGTGCCCGCCGCCTCAAGGACATGCAGGGACACAGCTGCGGCTGCTCCTCCCGCGACGCTGCATGGGGGGAGGCAGGATAAGGGAGACCCCGGCGTGCCCTTCCCCACTGGCCGTGCTGCCTGGAGCACGGAGCCCCGAGAACGCGAGGTGGCCGCTCTGGTACCAGGACAACTCTGCGCCCGGAGCCCCGGGAACATGGGGCAGCCGCTGCAGCACAGGGACCACCCTGCGCCCGGAGCCCTGGGAATGCGGGGCGGTCGCTCCGGTACGAGGACGACCCTGCACCCAGAGCCCTGGGAATGCGGGGTGGCTGCTGGGGGAACCACTATGCGCCCGGAACCCCAGGAATGTGGGGCAGCCGCTCCGGCGGGGGGACCAACTTAACCCAGATGGAGGGGTTCCCGTCCCTGACGGCCGCTCCGAAACACCCGCGCCCGGCGCTCAGCTCGGCCTGACACCGGAGCAGCTCCCAGCTGGTGCTTGGCTCCCGCCCCGCTCTCTGCGGAGCGCCAGCATGTCTGCTCCCACTGCCGGGGCTCAGAGGGGCCTTAAGCACTTCCCCTATAAAACAGCCTGCTCCTTCACCCCTGGGAGGTGCAAAATTGATAGGTACAAATTCTGTTTAACCCCAAATCAATCTGCGCTGCCTCTGCTCCACTATGTTAACACCCGGGCCTTATCTGGTCTGGGAGCTGATCTGCCTCTAAAAGTTATTTTTTGGCTGGCTAGGCTGGTTTCCAGCCAGATCCACTCCTAGACCAGACTATCCGCACCTCCAGTCCCAACAAGGGCAGCACCAGCAGAACGGGCATCTGGGAGCGAGCCAGAACTGCCCTCAACAGCACAATAACTCCTGCCACGTTGGCACGACTGTGAGACCGCTGCCCGAGCCGGGGCGAGCTCTGCCAGGACAGCCCCAAGAGCAGATCCGCCTCCGAAAGCCATGCACCAGGACACACTGGTTTCTTGCTAAAATTGGAGCCGCTCCTCAGTTCGCTGTAAGGTGCAATGCAGAGCCAGCCGTAGCAGGTACCACAGCCCAGGGATGGGAATCCCCTGCTATCCTGGTATTTCCAAACCATCGTACCGTCAAACTGCAGCCACAGGAGAAGGAACATATTGGCAAGTCTCTCCTGCTTTAAAGGCCACTGCAAGCACTCATAGGCAACATGGAAAGGAGGAACAGGAGGGCAGCAGAAACAGCATGGCAGTGCTGGAGGGAACATGGGAGAAGAGCGCATGCCAAAAGGCAGCGGCAACAAAGCCCCGCTAGGATCAGGTGCTGGAAAAGAAGGTCTGACGGACAGTTAGAGGAGCTCAGAGGGGGTACAAACGGAACAGGGACCGCTGAGGGCATCAGAAAGCTTCACAAGAGCAAACATATTCAAACAGAAAAGAGGGCAAGGGAAGAACGGACGGAAAAGAGGAATGTGCTCTGGGCAGCGCACCTGGCAACTGCTGGTGACGGGGGATGGCCTCCATCCCTGGAAGAGATGAGATTTCAAAGAGTGTCAGAGGTGGAGAGCAGGACATGCTGCCCTTGAGAGGGGAAGGAGGAGGAAGGAGGCAGGCGTGAAAGGACCCCGGGAGGAAAGCAGGCACGGTGCGATGCGATGCACCATGTCCTGAGCACAACGCGTCCCATCCCGAGCACTATGTCCCGAGCGCCACACACCCCGTCTCGAGCGCGTGGCCCCGTGGGGAAAGGGGAAGAAGCTCCGCAGCACCTACTTGGAGAAGAACAACCCCATTGAGTGATCAGACCTTTTAGCGCGCTCAAGAACATAACACTTTTGATCTGTTTTACCAGCAATACTCAGCTCTGAAAGAGCGACCAGCTCCACAGGCATTGCTGTTCCCCGGGAGGGAGGAGAGGTCAGCTATTTCCGCTAAGTGCAAGCTATTGAAATAACGAACTCTTCTCACGGCACTTGGCCACGGCCAAGTATGTGTTGCTAACTATAGTCTTCCGCTTTAACCAGCTTACATCTATCTTTGCGCGCAAAGCCGCCTAAGTGGATGACTTGGGTCTGTGACCTCCTTGCTCCCTTTAAAAATCGAGAGTCTCAGGATTACCGACATGCAGTTTGACAAGGGGGAAAATCTGCACAGAACACACTGAAACACCAAGGAGTTTCATTCACATGTAAAGAAAGAAAAGGAAAAGCAAGGAGCACATTCCTGGAGCTAGGCCAACACTGGGCTGCCACACAAGCTTTGAACATCAGGAACTCTGGGAAGACGTGATAAACTCAGGATTTCAGAGAGATAAGGCCACGACTTGGGCATTAAAAAAAAAGATTAATTCAAACTCAGCTTAACGGAGAAAAAGAAGACATGCCCCACACCGGTAGGAATGCTATTTTTTCCCACCCTCTCTGCTCCAAGCGCTAGATAAAGTGGACGCTGCTGACTGTGTCCATTGGCAGCTCCCGCGTTTCAATCCCGTTCCCAACAGGCAGCTCTGTTGTTGGCTCCTGTTGTCTCCCCATGGGATCACTGAGACGTTCTCCGTCTATACCTCCATTTTCTTGGGACTCTAGGTCTCTGCACACAGGACTTGCTGCGGTCAGCAAAGCAGACCGAGCCTGTGCTGGGGCTCTTGTGGCTGCTCTTCCTCGGGCATGCTCGCGTCGCCAATCGTCCCCTCCTGGCACAGGGATAGGACCATCAGGCCAACGCTGTCTCACCCAACACGCAGAACTAATGAGAGTGCCTCACCCACTCACTGGAACCTCGGGCTTGCTGGAGAGGAGGAATTTCAGAAAAATCCCCGCTTGCTTCTGAAAACAAAAACACATTCCCAGTGTGCAACTTCTCTCATTGTCCGGGCGCTCTCAGAGATTTCCTTTGTATCCTAAGTAAATACACAAATACTTTCCAAGGCTTGCAGCCCTTGTAAATAGGCCCCAGCCCCAGCTGCTTGCCCTGGAACAGCCTCAACCTGACCAAGTGCAAAGGCATCTGCCCCATGCACGTCGATGTGGTGCAGGGCCTGCGGGAGCTGCTCCCTGCATGGGGCTGCGGGGACACACTGTGTCCCCACCGTGGCTCTGGCAGGGGATGGATGGCACTGCGGGCTTGGAAGGCAAGGGGACTCACTGCACAGGTCCCCGGGCAGAAGGGCACTGTCCCCCATCCATGTTCCCACCCGCCCCAGAGGGGCTCAGTGCAGCTCCCAGGGCAGGAGCAAGTTGTGGTTTTGACTTTGCCCCGTGGTGGGAGCAGAAGGGAAGAGCAGCATTTCATGAGCTATAGAATTCCACTTACCTGAAGGCTTAGCGGGCCCCTAACAGGCTGCTGCTCTGATTTTGAAAGATATTTTATAAATGGAGCGGATAAAAACTAAGGCCATTGCTCTCTGTCCTGCCAACATCCATGACAGATTTAATTTGTGTTTGTGGACTTTGCTCCTTCAAAAAACAGAGTTGGGGCTGGATCCCACCCGGCTGCCACTCCTGCAGAGCCCCGGTCAGCAAAGCCCAGGAATGAAAACCTGAATAAAAATAATAGAACTTTTGAAAGGCCATTTGAGCCTGGAAGAGCAGAGCACAGCCCCTGCAGCACAGTCCACGCGGCCGGATCCGCCATGGTGCAGCACACATGGCAGGCAGGGAGGACACCCTCTGTGTCGGAGATACAACCCGCCGGCAGGACAACGTGGATCCAACCCGCCGGGAAGACAATGGGGATTCAACTCGCCGGCAAGGCCACGAGGATTCAACCTGCCGGCAAGACAACGGGGATTCAATCTGCCCGCAAGGCCACGGGGATATAAGCCACCAGCAAGAAAACGGAGACACAATTCGGCAGCAAGACAACGGGGCCGCAACTTGCTGGCAAGACAATGGGGATTCAACCCACCGGGAAGAAAATGGGGACACAACTCGATCGCAAGACAACAGGGATTCAACCCGCTGGCAAGGACACGGGGACACGACCCGCTGGCAAGGCCACAGCAGCGGTGAGCAAGCACTCCGCGTGCTCCGCCTGCGCGTAACACCCTGCTGTTGCAGAGCCGGCTACGGCACATATGGGAACACAGTGCCCACAGCCTTAGCCATCGCAAGGCTGCCTCCGTCTTCTGCTTGGAGCCGTCTCCAGCTCGCAGCTCTCAAGAACCACTCAGCTCAGACACAGCAGCAAGGCTGAGGAAGCCGCGCTCTGCCGCTGGTCTCTCCGGGCGCGGACACGCGGGGAAGCCATGGGAACTCCTGCGCTGGGACAGTTTAAGCCAAGCAACCAGGAAATCCCTCTGCTGAGCTGCAAGGAGAATGGCCACGGCTCTGCCTTCCTCTTGTGTCCTGCTCCCCCATTTCACTTTCACAGACCGTAGCTTCCAGCCATCTTTGCAGCAAGCCAGGATCCACCTCCTCCCCAGCGGTCCTTCTTTGGACAAACGCTGTGGAGAGATGGGGCAGTAGCTGGTCCTTCTTTGCCAACGGTGACTCTTTATCAGG